AACGTTTTCACAGATGATTGGAAACAAAGACTAGTCTTAGCAGAGGACTTCAAAAGTGTTAGGCTCAGTGTCTCTTTTCATTTGTTTGAAGCAGAAATCTGGGCAGCAGTTTGAGATTGTAATGGGAACAAAGCCCAAGGACCAGATGGATTCAATTTGATATTTTTTCAAAAATACTAGAAAGTGCTCAAAAATGATGTTCTCAAATTTATGAAAGAATTCTATGTTAGTGACAGATTGATCCCAGGTTTAAATAGTTCATTCATTACTCTCATCCCAAAGAAGAAGAAAGTTGTGACCCTCAATGAATTCAAACCTGTAAGTCTGATTGGCTCTATATACAAAATCCTTTCTAAAGTCCTAACAGGTAGCCTTAAACAAGTCATGCCTATGGTAATTGGGGACTCACAATCAGCTTTTCTGGGAGGTAGGAACATTCTTGATGGAGTTTTGATTGCAAATGAAATTGTGGATGGCTGGCACAAATCTAAGAAATTAGGGCTACTTTTCAAATTAGACTTTGAAAAGGCCTTTGATTTCATTAATTGGAATTTTCTCTTTTTAATGCTAACAAACATTGGGTTTGGTCAAAAATGGATCTCATGGATTCAAGAATGTGTCTCTACTGTAAGAATTTCAATACTTGTCAATGGCTCCCCAACCAAGGAGTTCAGCCCTCAAAAAGGTCTCAAACAAGGTGACCCCTTATCACCATTCTTATTCAATTTGGTTTTTGAGGCACTAAATATACTCCTTTAGAGAGCTATAGAGCTGAATTTGTTAAAAAGGGTATCTATTGGGACCAATCATGTGTAGCTCTCTCATCTACAATTTGCAGATGATTCTCTACTATTTTGTGAAGCTGAGCCTCCATAAGTCCTTAATTTGAAAAGAATCCTCAGGTGTTTTAAAGTGGCATCAGGTCTTAAAATCAACTATCATAAAAGTGTGGTTTGTGGGATTAGCATCTCTAACTCTGTTCTTGCTGAGTTTGCATCCTTGTTGAACTGTAGGACTCAAACACTTCCAATTAAGTATTTAGGGTTGCCTTTGGGTGCTAATTCCAAGAGAAAGAAAACATTGCAACTTGTTGTTGATAAGTTTAAATTGAGACTTGCTGGTTGGAAAAGGAGGCTTCTTTCTTTTGTAGGTTGATTAACCTTGGTGAAAGTAGTGTTGTCAAGCTTACCTATGTATTACTTGTCTTTATATAGGATGCTTGAAGGAATTGCTAAGGAGATAGATAAAATTCAAGCCTCATTCTTATGGGGAGGCTCAGATTTAAGGCGAAAAATCCACTTAGTAAAATGGTTAGAGGCAACTAAGAGTATAAAGTAGGGTGGGCTGGACATCAGAAGAGTTAGGGATGTGAATGTGTGTTTACTCCTAAAGTGGTGGGGGAGGTTTGCTTCTAATCATGATTCACTATCAAAGAGGGTCATTTGCAGCAAATATAGATTTCTTAGAGGGAAATAGTTTCCAAATCTCTGCCCAAGCATCAACTCTTCTAACATTTGGAGTGGCATTGTGGCAACAGTAGAGCTGAAAGAGTCCCTTTTACAATACTATGTCAGTAACCTACAGTTAAGGGTGGGCAATGGTTGTCGAATCAGATTTTGGTATGATACTTGGTGTGGAGCTCTTTGTCTAAAAGATGAGTTCCCTTGGCTTTTCAGATTGTTATTAGATAAGAAAGGATCACTTAAGGACTTTGTGGATATCTCTAAACCTTCTAAGAACTGGTTGTTCACCTTTAGGAGACCTCTCTTTAATTGGGCAAAGAATGAGCTCCTCAGACTCACTGACATCTTATCTTCGGCCCATTCATTGAACTTGAAGGCCCAAGATAGTGCAGTTTGGAATTAAGCTAAACCAGAGCAGACTCTTATATCAAATCTTTACAACCATACTAACATTGTCTATGGTGGTACTGATAGATCTAATCGAATGGTGTGGATCAAGTATCTCCCACCCAAAGTGCAATTCTTTGGTTGGCTTGCATAGAAGCACAAGCTTAAAACTTATGTATTCTTACAACGAATTAGTGTCTTGGATAGGTCTGCATCTACCTTGTGCATTTTTTGCAAATCTCAGCATGAAACAATTGAACATGTGCTAATCTTTTGCCCTCTGGTGTGGAGAGTCTGGACTGGACTGTTACAGTGATGAGGGGTTACTTGGATAGTTCCAGACTCTGTTCAAGGTTTGTTGCAATGGTGGTCAGGTTACTACTGTAGGAAATCTGAACGGAAAATTTGGTGCACCATACCTCTAGTGACTCTCTAGTCAATTTGGAAACACAGAAATGAATGTTTCTTTCAAGCTTCCCCCCCAAAACTGCAGGAGCTGCCAGAGCTCATTATTATCACCAAGCTTGTCATCTGGCTAAAGGCTACTTCCAAGGAGCTTTATTTTTCGATTAATGATTTCCTATATAATATCTCAGGTGTTAGGCATTGTATTCAGGGCTACCTCTGTAGTAGATTGCTTATATTTGCTTTGTTGTTGCTGCCCTACTGTTGTTGGGCTGGTCTTGTATATTTGGTTGTTGGGCTGGTCTTGTATATTTGGGTGTACTTGCAAATGATTAGGTATTCCTTGCGGTGCCAACCTAATTGGGATCGTTTAGTGATGCTTTGATGCTTTGCACTTCCCCATCCTTTCTTTGATGTTCGTATGTTTGTATGGTTTCAACATCAATACAGGACCTTTTTTGCTGTTGAAAAAAATAAAATAAATTTTTAGCTAGCCAAAAGACAAATCAAATTCAAGCAATTTAATTCTTTTTATAACCTTAGTGATAACTTTTGTTAGGATAAACTCAGCCCACCAATTAATAGGGCCTTACATGGCTAAAGGCCATTTCAAAGACTTGGGCGTTCCATGTTATGAGGGTTTTTTTCTTGAAATAGAAGGTTATGGGTAAATTACACTTTTCACTCTTTAATTTTCATAAGAGTTTCACTTTCATGTCTTGTCTTCTGATTGTAACAATTAAATCTCGAGACTTCAACTACTATTTCAATATAATCCTTTAGTTGCTCGCCATTAAAAGAATTATATAAAAAGTGTTCACCTGAACATGTTTAAAGTATTATTAAAAGAAAAAATTATATAAAAAATTACACTTATAGATCATTAACGACCCTTTTGTGGCTTATTGTAAATTTTTATCATTTTTGTCAATATAGATCATAAACGACCAATATAGATCATTTTTCATCAATTTATATAAATTAATAAATTAATTAATATACCTTTTTTATCTTTAATATTTGACTTACTTATAAAATAAAGGATTAATTACTTAAAAGTCCTAATGACAGCATGTATGATAGCTTACGTCCTGTGTAAAGTTTTTGAACGCACAAGTCCCATTTTGAATTGCAATTGACGTTTCTATCCTTTTGATAGATCACATCAATTTGTAAGTTGAATGATGACGACTTAATAAACTCAGAAACAACGTAACAAAATCAAATATCAAGATTAAAAATGTTGGATTTAAGATCTGGAGATCTGGTCTGTAGTAAGATCTGAGATGTTCTCAGTTTTGGAATTGCAAATGTAAGAACTGAGATGTTCTTAGTTTTGGAGTTTTGGAATTGTGAATGCAAGAACTGAGATGTTCTCAGTTTTGGAATTATGAATGTTCTTAATTTTAAAATTAAGAATGATTTCAATTTATAATTACCAAAACTAAGAAATTTCTCAGTTTTTTCCAGTACTAACTGAGAATATTATCAATTTTGAAAAATTTCTCAATTTTTTCAAGGTTAAAATTGAGAATATCATCAATCTACTCTCTCTCTCTCTCTCTCTTTTACCCACACCTTCATCCTCCTTTCTCTACACTTTTCAAATCTGAAAATGTCTAGATCTAGTTCCAGATAGACATGAATGGGTTATAACGGTGAGAGGTGGCGACGGCGACAACGAGCAGTGGGCAACTACAATGGCAAGAAGCGATGGGCAATGATGACTATGTCTTCCTTCCTCCGAAAATCATCGACTTGAGATCTGACGATTGATAGGCAAATGGGTCTAATTCTGGGTTTGGATTGGGATCGAGCTGAGAATTGGGTCTGTGAAGAAAATACTGTTGTTTTGAGACCAAGGGAGGGAGATGAAGAGGCTAAGAGATGAGAGTTGACAAGTAGAAGTGAGGTTGCTGCCATGAGTGCTTTGCTTTTATGGATTTGCTAATAGTGATTCATATATGAAGTGAAAGAGTTAGAAGAATTATAGATAGAGAGAGGGGGGAGGAATGAAATGGTAAGAGAGAGAAAGAGTCAGAGAAAGTGTGGGGGACAAAATGTTTGGGGTTTTCAATTTGTAAATTGGTCATATAAAAAAAACATAGGACTTATAAGTTTAAAGTTTTGTGAATAGGACCTAAGCTACCATTAATTGTCAAAACCCCTAAAATAAATTAATAAATAAAGATGAGGAACTTTAAAAAAATTGGGCCTAGGCTACAATTAATCAATTGCTTCCATGAAAAGATGAAAGTATAACAAAGAAGTACATGTTGATGGTCATCCCTATGTTAATAATTATGTGAAGGATGATTCAATTAAAAATGTAATACAATTTACAAATAATAAAGTTAAATTTGTAGGATGAATCAATTAAAGACCTTTTGAACTCTTTCAATTAAAGCATTTTGTGCTTGTGTACAAACATGTTAAGAATATAATATAAATAATAAAGTTTTCTTTATGTAAGTTTAAGTTTTAATGAATTGATGGTTATTAATTCAATATGATATGAGAATAGATAATAAAACTTGTGTTCGAACCTCACCGTCTATTCAAAAATTAAAAATACTTGCATATGTTTGGACTGCTTATGAAGGAAAGCCCACAATTCAATAGCACGTTCAAAGACAACACAATTGCTTGGTGCAACTAATGAAATAATTTCTTTTTGAAAAATTTGTATCAAAGTGTTTAATGCAGCATTTGCTCATACTTTACAACTCAAAAATGATCTCGGTAAGCTGAAAATTTTGATAATCCTGGTGTTTTTAAAATTTTCTTATTTATTAACACTTTTCAGTTTAGAATAAACTGCACCAAATATGATACAAACATTTTAGAACCTAATAAAAATCCACCAAGTTAACATTACACAAACAGTATTTGTAGCCTTATTTTCATATGCGCAACAAATATTGGAAAATATTCGACTTGACATAAAAATAGAGACAGTGCCAAATTGCATGTGAAGCTCCTAACAAGGATTCAAGTGACTCGGTGCTCGCCTCATACTTGTAAGTCTAGTGGTTCCATTCTTTACAATTAGTACTGTATCCATACCCCAGCTCATGTGCCTATCCAAATGGCAGTGCATGAACCACACTCCTGAAATGAAAAATCCAATTAGGGTTTGTATTCTTACTTATGTTGAATGTATAAGAATAGTATCAAACAAATCTTCTTTAAATAGCATGCCACTATATTCATAAGAGACCTGCTCGCAAATGTAGTTTTTATAAATGTAAATTTTATTAACCAATAAAATACCTTAAAATGATAGTTTACCAAATTATTAACTAAGATTCTAATTATATAGTCTAAAAATTGAATGAAATAATTGCGATAAGTTCTATGAAATGACTTATATTTATTTATTTATTTTTCTTTCTAATTTTCAATGACTCTTATGCAAGTAATTATCATTTTCCAAAAGGTAACTTAATTTTTTGCTCACCTCCTCCTCAATAAAAAATTTCATATCGTCCAAGGGAGACACCCTCTACTTTGGCTAATCATAAACTTGAACGAATGTGATTTAAAAGCATTGTTCAATAGCCCAAGATCAATTAATTTTTGGTCATATTGTTTCATTCAATTTATTTAAGCTTCAGTTGAGTTAATAGATTAAATCAAACGAATGACTATGAAAATCAAATTAGTTCCTCAAAGACAAAATCATAAAATAAACGTACCAATGTGAATAATCATTTATACCTGGATTATCAGCTTTAAATCTTATGGCAGCCCATCCATTTGTAGGGACTCCAACAGTGTTCATCTCAGGTGGATCAACCAAATTAAACCCTGCAGGATCAGTCTCATTGTCGAAATTCCCAAAACCAAATCCAACTACATAAAAGCTATAACCATGTTGATGTATTGGATGATTCTCAGCACCATTTAGAACATTGGTTCCTTGGAACACTATTTCCACACTAGAATTGTATTTCAGAACCCTCACCTTCGTCCCTCTTTTAGGTGTCAAAACATTATCAGGCACATCATCAGCTGTAAAATTGAAAACATAAGGTGGCACACTAGGAAAATTCGTTTGGTAAATCCCTCTAATTTGTTTGTAGTATGCTTGCAATATATCGACCTTTGGATCCACAAAACTTATGTTGTTCATGCTTGCTGCTAGCCTAGAGCCATTGGGTCCATCACAAGAATTATTGGCGCATGGTAGTGTGTTCACAGATAATGTTATAACAAGTCGTATATCAACTACTTTTGGGACATCAACTGGATGCTGCGTGCTTGCTAAGGCCCTAAGACGTCGGGTAAAATTCGTTACAGCATTGATGTCTGTATAGTTAGGAAGGTTTGGAAACACAGGTGTCAATGGGGATGTATAATTTCCATTGTATTCGACTATCGCAGTTGTAGTGGTGTTATCATAAACAACTCCTGCATACGCTCTTGCTGCCATATAGTAGTGACTTAGGGACTGATTTGCAGTTATCAAGACATCCATGGTTTGTCCAGGGGTTATCATGATATAGTCAGTTTTTATCGGTTTGAGGTAAGCTCCATCCATTCCAACCACTGTGAGATTATGATCAGCTACCATGAAGAACATTTCTTCGTTCATAATTGAATTGATGATACGAAGAAGATAGGTCTTTCCAAAATCAAACATTATTCTAAATGTTCCTGCAACATATAGACCATGTTACATAAGTTTATATATATATTACTACAAAGAAATTGAATGGCATGAATTATCTTGCATGGGCTCATGTAGTTAAAGTTTTTTTGTGTGGAAAGAAAAAACTGCGTTTCATTACTGTTCTTCCTGCATCTGATGATGATCCAACCTTTGATGATTGGTCTAGTGAGGATTCTGGTGTTATAAGCTGGCTTTGACATAGTTTGGAACCTAACATGGCCACCACCATTGAGTTTTGTGAAACATCTAAGGAGATTTGGGACTCTCTAGTTGACTCTTTTTCACAACAGAATAATGTTTCTTGTGTGTTTGAGCTGTTTTTTTTTTTTTTTTTTTTTAAAAAAAAAAAAAAAAAAAAAAAAAAAAAAAAAAAAAAAAAAAAAAAAAAAAAAAAAAAAAAAAAAAAAAAACAACAAAGCAGAAGGCCCTAAATTGGTGAGGAACCAATAGAGGGAACAGAAAGGATAGAAAAAAGAAAGAAAGCAGCAGCGGAGAACCAACTAATGAAACTTACAACACTACATCCGGCACCTAACATCATACCAGCAGCAGCGGAGAACCAACCTACCAGCAGCATACTACCTGCTAGAAACCTGGATACGCTGACCCTTGCTTGCAGGCCAGCAAGACTGAACTGCAACAGAGACCAACAAGTCCCTCTAGCCAACAGGCCTTAAAACCAGTCCCTCCAGCCAGCAGACCTGCTAAACAGAACAAACCAACAAGCCAAACCACCAGAAGACCACCAGTGGAGCACAATGCGCGGAACTGAACAGAACAAACCAACAAACCAAACCCAGTCCCTCTGTCATATACTACTGCAGCCAGCAGGCCTTCAAACCAGTCCCTCCAGCCAGCAGTGGAGCACAATGCGCAGAACTGAACAAAACAACCCAACAAACCAAACCACCATCAGATCACATTCCACACAAACAGAACCTACAAACCAGTCCCTCTATCATATACTAGCCATTTCCCAGCCGGATCTCCTGAATGTTGCAGATAATCTGCTGCACTGAGTAACAGCAATCTAGAGTGTAGAGTTTGGCCCACAACGCGATCCTTGTCTTGATTAATTCACACAGCTCCTCCAAGTGCATTTGACTTTCACAGAAGACTTTCTCATTCCTGAATTTCCATAACGACCACAGAACCGCAACTGGTATAATTCGCCAGATCACATTCAGATTATGCCTCCACTTGAAGCCCCTCCACCAATTAAGAATCCCTTCCACTGTTTGTGGAATTACCCAAGACAATCCCCACCACTGCATCAGATCACACCAAATTCTCCAAGCAAACGGGCACCATATAAGAAGATGAAATACAGATTCAAGCCCTTCATGACAAAACACACACATGGCAGATGCTTCCGGTTCCAACACACCTATCCTCTGTAGAAAACTAGCTGTTTTTAGTCTCCCCTTCCAAGCTAGCCAGACAAGAAATTGAGCCTTTGGGGGAGAAAATTTATTCCAGATTAACTTAGTTACCAGTACTGGAGCTGAGGGCATAGCCAAAGAATACAGAGATGAGACCGAAAACTCAGCAGAAGGAGATGCCGACCACCCAAGACGATCCTCCCTATCCGATAGGCCAACCAAATTCTGCTCCAAGAAGGTACTCAACCTTGTAAGCTCATCATTCTCCCAACCCAATAACCTTCTTCTAAACTTGAAAATCCACCTGGGTGAGGCTTCATTCCTATGTGACACCACTCTCAAAGACACCTCCTTTTCAGTTGAGAGACTATACAGCCTAGGAAACTCATTCTTAACACAGTAAGCCCCCATCCAGTAGTCAGTCCAGAACTGAATTCTAATCCCATTTCCCACCACCACCCGACTGTTGTCCAGGAAAACAGACAAAAGCTGTGGGTTAGATTGACCTATATTAATAATGCCACTCCAGATTTTTGAGTAGGAACCAGAGAAGGAAGTACTAGGCAACCAATTTCCACCCACTGACCCATACCTGCTACACAGAACTCTTTTCCACAAAGTATTTGATTCAACTCCAAACCTCCACCACCATTTAATCAACAAGCACTCGTTAGCCATCTTGACTCTTCTAATACCCAACCCCCCATTTTCTTTACTTTTGGTTGCTTCCAGCCAGCTGACCAGGTGGACTTTTCTCCTCGAATCAGACCCTCCCCAAAGAAAAGTTGCTTGAATCCTTTCTATAGCCTTAGCCACCGATGCAGGGATCTTGAAAATAGATAAATAATAGGTAGGCAGACTAGATAGCACAGATTTTATAAGTACCAACCTCCCACCAAAAGATAGGAATCGTCTCCTCCAAGAAGCTAATCTAACTCTGCATTTTTCGATGACTGGTTTCCATGTTTTCCTTAACCTGGGACTAGCTCCCAAAGGCAGACCAAGATACATCATGTGTTTGAGCTGTATAAGCAGATTTTTGCTACTAAGCAGTCCGGTCGTCCACCTTTGAGAATTATAGTGGTCTTAAGCATTTGTGGGATCAGTTGTTGCAGCATTCCCCTTTTCTATGGATTTGACCCAGCAAAAGCGGAATTGGGAGGAATTTATGATTGCATTCTCGCTTACTGGCTTAGATTCCAATTTGCTTGGGTTCAAGGATCAAATTTATCATCTGCAAATTGGAGATGTGAAACTACCACTCTATCTTTGCCCACTACAGCTCCCTTAACCAACCCCAATGATCTGGCTCGATCCAAGAGCATATTGAGACCTTCAGCTACCAAATTAAAAAGGAACGGAGACAGCGGATCACCTTGCCTAAGACCTCTTTCAGGAGTGAACTCAGCCGTAGGGGAGCCATTCACTAGTACAGACACTCTGGCCGATGATAAACACTCCTTGATCCACCCTCTCCACCTAGCCCCGAACCCAAAATTTTCCATCATAGATGCGAGGCACTCCCAGCTGACAGAGTCAAATGCCTTTTGAAAATCCAGCTTGAGGATCAACCCTTTTCTCCGGCTCCTCTTCCACCAATCAACCACCTCATTCGCAATGAGTACACCGTCGAAAATGTTTCTACCTCCCAAGAACGCTGATTGAACCTCTCCAACCACCTTAGGCATCACCTTCTTGATTCTATTAGACAAAACCTTGGCCACAATCTTGTACAGAGACCCAATGAGACTAATCGGTCTAAAATCTGATAAACTGGAAGGGCATTCAATTTTTGGGATCAAAGTGATAAAGGAATTATTCACACCAGCCCCCAGTTTCCCATTAGCATAAAATTCTTTGAAAAATTGAAGGACATCAGACTTCAAGCAATCCCAGCACTTCTGAAAGAACATCAGGTTAAACCCATCAGGACCGGGAGACTTATTCCCATCACAGTTCCTAATAGCACTCCACACCTCATCCTCAGAAAAATCTGCGTCCAGAATTCCAGCCACTTGATCCTGACCAATAGATTTAAATTGACCCATCAACTTTGGCCTATTCCTCCAATTTTCAGAAAACAATCCTTTAAAGTGCTTTAACACCTCCTGCTTCACCAAGATGGGATCCTCAAAGAGTGCCCCTTCCACAGTAATTGAATTCAACAAATTTCGGTTCTGTCTAGAGGATGCAATGATATGAAAATACCTTGTATTCTTATCCCCCTTCAAGCTCCAGTCTAGTCTAGATTTCTGAAGCCAAAGCCACTCGTCCCTCTTCCTAAGAGACCACACCTCCTTTTTGACCTCCCTTCGTCTGACAATGTCAGCCTCAGACAAGTCTCTAGCCTCAGCCACCAGATCAAGCTCATGGAGCTCCGCCTCTGCTTTTTTGAGGGAGCAGGAAACATTGCCGAACACTTCTTCATTCCACTTTTTCAATTCCAACTTAAGATGTCTAAGTTTAGAAGCGATGACAAACCCCGCCCATCCAGAGACATTTGATGCCTCCCACATTTGTCTGACCACATCTAGGAATTTAGGATGTAACAACCAAGCATTCAAGAACCTAAACGGCTTTGGCCCCCAATCCCTTTCATCCTCCGTCAATACCAATGGACAATGGTCAGACACTCCCCTTGGAAGGCCCCAAAGCTTAAAATTGAACCTACTCAACCACTCAGGTGCTAGGAGAATTCTGTCAATTCTACTCCAACTACCCCCATCTTCTGAATTACTCCAAGTGAATTGCCTACCATGCATTGGGACATCATACAAGGCTAACCCTTCAATAAATTCATTAAACTCTACCATCCCTCTGTCCCTTCTTAGGCACCCTTTTCTGTCCCCTAGATTTCTAATTTCATTAAAATCCCCTCCTACACACCAAGGTTCTGGAAATCCTAGATTGAGACTAGTAATAACCTTCCACACTTGCCTCCTATCAACTGCAGCATTTGGCGCATATACATTAACCAAAACACACCTAAAATTTGGAAGTAATGTACCTGACAGTAAGAGGAACCTTCTTGATCCACAGCACTGAGATAATGAGAATACTGAAGGCTTCCATACGCACAGCAGCCCACCAGCCGAACCATCCGCATCAACATACATATATTCCAATTCATCCACATGCCAAATCGATCGAACCAAATCATCTGACATACCTTCTTTCTTAGTTTCTTGAAAAAAGGCAAAATCAATTTTCCTCTCTTTAAGTAGAGACCTGATTCTTCTTCTCTTTTCCGGCCTACCAAACCCCCTTATGTTCCAAGACAGCAACTTCATCGGAGACCTCAAAGGAATCACCTATATCACCCATGGAAACCGTCTAAACTAAGACAGTTTCGGCCCTTTGAGCTGCCCTGTCCACATCATTTTTTTCCAGCTCCATAATTCTGTGAACTACTTCCTCTTCCTTCCCTTTAAAACTGATGCCCAAAGATTTACCCACCTCCACTGTCTTCCGTGCTTCTTGAAGGACGTAGTCATCACCCTTCTCTGCCGCACAAGACGAACTCGGCCGAGATAAAACAGCCGCAGCAACTCTGAATGCAGGTCCTTTGTGCCACACTCCTATTGCAGATGGTCCGCCACTTCGACCTCCCTTCCCCTCTTTCCGAGCTAGCTTACCACTCTCTCCCTTTAACCTGGGCGCAGTGGCTTTCCCCTTCCCTACTAGCTTGCTGTGTTGAGATTTCAGCACTCTCCGATCCACATTCTGTTTCACATTCTGGCCTATATCCATTAGGCCCACACTCACAGCCTCTGGGTTGGGCCTAGACCCAACCTTATTATTTTGGGCCTCTTCTAGCAATACTTGGATTCGAATCCCGGGCCTCTCCAGTCCGGATCCACTTATACTTTTCATGAACCCAGGAGTCACAATTTCCTCCTCCACTCCGTCCCTCTCGTTTCTCCCCCTCTTGTTTACCGTTGCAATAACAGCATCTTTTCCACTTTTGCATGCTGCTGCCCCGTTTACATTCCCCATACTTGAAATGATCGTTTCTCCCACTATCGACTGGGCTGAGTCATCCACCTCCCACTCACCTGATCCTTGTATACCATGCGTCCCAACATCCTTTTGCAAAGCTGCCATGCCCTGCCTCTTCTGGACAGTCCGCTCACCAATATCTGCCACTGCAAGTTGCAACTCTCCTTCCAGCTCAGCCACTTCCTCTGCTACTCGTTCACCATTACTGCCATACATGTTCTCCATGTTGTTTGAGCTACATCTTTCATGGAGAGAGCACTTACAAGCTTCTGTAATAACTTTAGATACCCTAACTTGTTCTTCGCATACTCTAACTGGATAGTTTCTGCCAGAACACCTCACCTGAACAACTGAATTTATATACCCCATACAGGAGGTAACAATTTTAATTCGGCCACATTTGAAAGATAACTGGTTGATTGTCTCCTCATCCAACCTGATAGCCTCACCCCACAGTCCCCCAATCTTCTTAAAGGTGTCTGAACTCCATAGATTAAGTGGAACTCCATAACAGCTCAACCAAACTCCACGTTCTTGCTCTATGTGCCCGTATCTCTTCCATTGTGAAACTGATTCGCACCAATCGTTGAAGCAATCTTTTAATATTGATGCATTTTCCTTCATATCATCAGAGGATTTAAATGACACCACTGCCATTCTTCCCCCCCCCTCCTAACCAGAATTTCTGCTGATCCTTTTTCCATGACTGCTTTTTGGAAGTTTGAGAATGAGTAGAAGCTTTTCAACTTAACAATAAGGCTATCGTATAGCCATCCATTACCTGCCTCATGGGCTACCACCGAGAGACCCACACTGCCCTTGCTGGCTCCCAGCTGCACTGCTTCTGCATATGACCTGCAGCCTATGTTTGTTTGACCTTTTTGGCCCATTTGCCACCAGGATCCACCCTCCTCTCTTCCAGAACCATTCCCTGGTTGCCCATCTTGACGTCCTCTGCCACCCGATGCTGTCTTCTCAAACTCTGCTCTCTTAACTCTCAAGGCTTTATCGTCACACCACAACCCATTAGCTTTTTGGATTGCCACTTCAGCGGCTACAGGGCAGTCATACCTGACAAAACCAAACCTGGACCGCGTAGATTTCCTTACCTTATTTGGAATGAATACATCTCGAACAATTCCGAACTTCATGAACAGATCCCTGAGCCCCTTCGAGCTCAAGGATGAGGGGATATTGTCAACAAAGATTGTATGAATACCAGCTCGGCCTCCTTTATGGCTCTGTGATTGCTTGCCCTTGCCATATAGCACCGGTTTCCACCCTCCTCCATTCATTTTCGGTCGTGTGGCCTAGAAACTCACTTTCTCTCTCTACGCAACTAGTTTATATATATGAATATAGTTAGACCTAGCTAGCATCCATGTGACTTAATAAATGACACTAGCATAGCATCCTAATTAGAATTACAAAATATACCAGGTTTGGAACAATTGTAGAGATCGCCTGGTTGGCCATTGATGGTAAAAGCATCCGATATGTTCGGTTCACCTCCATTTGCTAGGGCAGTTTGAATTATTTCCATTACATCTCCCTTGAACCACGATGCTTCAAGTGCAACAAGAAATGAGCAAATAATATGTACAATTTTTTGCACAAAAGAAATAATATGCACAACAGTGACTAATGTGTACAGGTATAGTGATTCTCTAGTAGGTTCACAACTTGAAATTTGTAGCTTTGTGTGGAATAATACTATTCCTCCCGAGGTACAATTTTTTGGTTGGTTGGCATCAAAAGATAAAGTGAAACAGCAAAGTTTTTGCACAAGATTGGAGTTTTAAACAGTGATGTTTCTAATCTATTTTTTGCAAGAATGAGGTTGAATCTGCTACTCATGTGTTGCCACATTACCCCTTTTCCAGGAAATTATGTTTTGAAATGATGCAGTGGAGGGGATTTCAATGCGTATCCCCTGGCATAGTTGAGGGCTTGTTCCTCTGGTGGGTTGGTGGGAAAATGAAGAAGTTTGAAAGAAAGTTGTGGAGGGCTATCCCGCTACTAGCTGTACTATGGTCAATATGGAACTTTAGAAATGAGTGTGTTTAATGGGATTTAGCCTAATTTCTTGGAACTAATAAGGGTGCTCATCAAGATTAGACTAGCCTTATGGTCCAAGGCCTCAATCCAAGGGCTTCATTACTCAGTTAATGATATTGTGCATAACCTATAAGGCAGATAAGGGATTGCGTATGAATTGCAGAAATGAAGAAAACAAAGCAAGATTTGGTGGAGATTGAGCAGAATAGAGTAGTAGTCAAGGGTTGATGTTGGTTCTTTGGTGTTACATTGTAATTGTTGTTTTATTCCCATTATTGTTGGTTTCTCACCAACTTGAGACTCAGCAAATGATTGGGTAGGTTTTTTGTGCCAACTTAGTTGAGATCTTGAAATTTTACTATGATGCTTGATACACTTTCCTTTCCTTTGTTGATGTATTGCATGTACTTTGTATGTTTTGACTCCATCAACTTTCCTTTCCTTTGTTGATGTATTGCATGTACTTTGTATGTTTTGACTCCATCAATAAAAGGTTTTTGCTTATCAATATATATATATATACCCATTTTGTCCAAAATACGTGAGTGAGAATGTTTTGAATAAACCATTTAAGTTTTGGATGTATCCCTAAACTAACATAGAGAGAGAGAGAGAGAGAGAGAGAGAGAGAGAGAGAGAGAAAGACCATACCTAAAACAATGGGAAACTCTGCATGAGGTTTGGGAAACGGGTAATTGGAACCAACTTTCGGGTAGATAATGATAGGACCATGTACTGTGGCTCGAGACCAATCACTGTGGGCATGCCACCATAGGGTTCCTTCTTCTGTCGAGAATATCAGCTCATAACTGAAATTAGCTCCTGCTTTGATGGGACACTGCGTTACATACTCTGGCCCGTCAGACCAAGGATTTCTTGGTTGCTTCACTCCATGCCTATAAAAATAAGTGTCAAAACATCACCTAATTGCACTGCCTAATATGTCATACTCTGACCCATCAGTGCAAGGATTTAGACTTCATTAAGCTTTTATTAAACACCACCAAATTGCCCCATGTTCCTTCTTTCTGGAATATCAGGTTCTCCTTCAGAAATACTATATGTATACAAGGGTGGACTTATAGATGGGCTAAAAAGGCATGGCCTCTCTAACTTTTTCAAAAAAAAATTACTAGTTCTCTATTTTATGCATATTTTTTACAATATATATGGAATAACCTGCCAAGTTCTGAATATTTATTATTTTGATCATTAATATAATAAGTATTCTTACCATGTATATGAGATGATGATTCTCCACTATTTCACATCTTACATAATAAAATCAATTTTATTAGTTAGATTTTATAAAATATGTAAATGTAATTTTTTTTTCACTTACAAAAATGACAAAGGTAGATTTTTTTATGTTTTTAAATTATATGAACCAATAAAATGCTTTAAACAGAACATTCTGGAAGTGGCGTTATACTTTGCCTCGTTGCTTATGGCTTTTCCCTATCAACTTATTTTTCCTTTTTTCTTGGTAAATAACTAACAGAAAAATCAAATACATTAAAATAATGGTTCAATATCTTAACCCTACATATATATGCCGATAAATAAAATAAAATAAAAAAAGAAAAAAGAAAACAGTGGCATACCAAAAATATTTTTAAAAAATAAATAAACAGTATGTTTGTATGAGAGAGAGAGAGAGAGAGAGAGATGTACCAGTGAAGGGTGACATTATAATTCCCTTGATTTTGCACATTAACTATCAATCTATCACCTTTGCGGACATGCAAAGCAGGCCCTGGAAATAGTCCATTTACTGTCAATATCTTCTTTGTGCTACACAACCTAGTATAGCTAGTTTCGTTTAACTGTAGAACAAAATTAATAGTGTAAATAAAAATAAAAAGATAAGATTACTAGGTCAACTATATATGGTTAATTGTTGAGAACTAATGAAGAAATGATCATATATGCTTAATTGCATGGTGAGAATGTGAAAAAAAATAAGCAAAAATGATTGTGTTTCTTGTTACTTCAAATCGAGAGTTTGATGTATCTTATGGAGCATCACAAATGAAGCATTTTTAACTATAACAAAATCATATGTAATATAGCTTTTTTGAGGGAGTTACCTGAAAAGTTAGTTTATTGGCTAAAACTAAGTATACATCAAATGGAGTTGTTTAATACATGTCTAGCTTTTTTGACTTGCTATCACTTAATAGAGTGATTAAAGTAAATTTTTTAATGAAAGTAAGTCTGGCAAATGTGATAAGATATTTGTAGCAAAATAAACCTTCTATTTTTATTATTACAATGAGTAGATTTTTAAGCCACAACCAAAGGAACCTAATATCTAGCTCTAAGATTGGAATAGCAAGGATTTTTTTTTATTTATTTACCAAATTCACTTTATTTTAAATATATATTTTAAACAAAAGTAATTTTAAACTTATTTTTAAAAATCGTGTTGTTTTCTACTCCTTGGTGTGATGATGTAGTGCACTGCGATTGATGACAAGACTAAGGCCAAATTTGGCATATTACAAACAAGTCAAAAAGTTACTCAAAAAGTTAAAAAGTTATCACTATTTACTAAAAGTCAACAATTACGGCTGCACAACACCCAATTCTAATTTTTCGCTACAAATTAATTTTTACAATTTTTTATTACACTTTTTTCCATAAAGAGTCAAAAAGTTAACTCAAACATCTATAGTTTCTTCCTCAAATTTTTAGTCCAAAAAGACAAAAAGTGCATTTATTTAGGACACCCCAAACAACTCCTAAGTAAGTGCACTTTTTGTCTTTTTGGACTAAAAAATTGAGGAAGAAAATATAGATATTTGGGTTAACTTTTTGACTTTTTATGAAAAATGTGTAATAAAAAATTGTAAAAATTGATTTGAATGGGAAAATTAAAATTTGGAGTTGTGCAGCCGTAATTGTTGACTTTTGGTGAATAGTAATAACCTTTTAACTTTTTGAGTAACTTTTTGACTTTTTAACTTTTTTAAACTTCCTAAACTTGACCTAAATACGGATGTATATACTAGTAAACTCGCAAAAATTTGTTCAGTAACTTAGAATCACCATGTTAGTTTTTGTCCCAACTATTTATGATTGACCTCCTACTTTTTGGATATGTGAAAAGTTAAAAGCTCAATGCCCATCATAAATAATTGAAACTAAAAATTACGTGAGGATCTGCGACTATAAGTACTTATCGGAATGCATGGTAAAGTACTTACAACAAAATCAATAGAAGGGATTGTCTTCTTGGCCATGGAAAAAACAAACAAATTCAAGAGCAAAAACCCTAAAAGCACCAACTTCAAATTTTTCTTCAACCCCATACTCTATCACTATAGAAAATTGAGACTCTTTCCTTGTGCTATGTCTCTTGCTCAAAGTCATCTTTAAAAGGTGTTTATATAAGCTTTGATTCGTACTTTGGTGACGCAGGGCTAGAAATTAATTTTCGAGAGTTAAAATACTTGAAGGAATAAACAAACATATATAAAAATGATATATATTTCAATTGGAGTTGGCAATGCCATACATTTTTAGCCGCCTACTCTCTCATTTACTTTCCTTGGTTACAAGCAACCGTTTAAGTCATTGTCAAAAAAATAAAGTCATTGAGGGAAAAAAATAAGGATTCATTCATTAGGCTGTGCTTGGATTGTGAGCTGTGATCAAGCCCGGTCCGAGATTTCAGGGCTCAAAGTCAATAATAAACTAATAAATATCACTAGATCATTTGGGATCTTTCACATTTTTTTTTATTCAATCAAAATTTTTTTTGAAGATAAAGGACAAAAAATTGTGTCAAAAGAGTTAGGATTAGGAATTAAATAGGGAGAGAGAGTGTGCCCTTTTAATTTTGAATGGGCCTTTAATTTTTCAATGGATCAATTTATTTTAAGTTAGTTTGGGTCTTCTTTAATTTTTTTTTTGACTCAAAACATACCTAATATATTATACTAAACTATAATAGGAGAGGTCCTTTTTTTGGGTGTATTTTGAAGGGTCCTAAGTCATGGCCTGGTGGGCCTATGCCCAGGGCTGGCCCTAGCTATGATTTGAAAAGGAAAACGGAAATAGAACGAAAAGAAAAATGAAAATGTAAGTAAAATCTTAATGAAATATATTATTTCCCTAAATCTTTATCTAAACAAATGATCCAAACACAATCTAAGTAGTTAACCCAATGGTTATGAGCTTTTAAGCTGTGTTTAGATCATGAATTTCGGTAACAATTTAAAAAGGAAAAAAATAATGTGAGCGAAATATGAATGAAATATATTTACAAATTCACTTACATTTCATCCACTATTTTCCTTTCTCTTTCTAAATGCCTATTCAAATTTATGATCTAATCACAGCCTTAGGAGATTAAACCGTGTCCTAGTCAATTGAAATTATATGTATGTCCACAAAAGTGAAATCCCAAATTATATATATATATATATATATGAGTAATGCTACACTTATCACTTCTTTATACCACCTTTAATGTACTACTCCATGTGTTAGTACATTATTTAACATAAACATAAGTGGTGGAATCCATTATACCAACATTGAGTTAACGCATAAGGTGGTATATGAAAAGTAGTATATGATGAGATAATATCAACTCCACGAGTATTAGCATCACTACCCCAAATAGATGAGGCTCAAGCATTGTAATTCATTAGTTATTAAGTTCAGTTGTTATCAAGCAGTTATAACTACTTTCAGTTACATAGTTAGATATAGGATAGCTACACAACTAACTCTGATATTATACAAATAGGAAACTCTGTAATGTAGTTCTAATCATCAAAGATATTTTTAATTTACAACACAAATTCTTCATGGTATCAGAGGTTGTTAACTCCAACGAGTCAAGCTTCTTCAATATCTTTCAATAGAGTCTATATATTTATCCCTACCAGTCAATCTTGTTCTTCTAATCAACAATTTGAATTCATTTGTCACAATCAAATTGGATTCTACAAATTATTTGATCTGAAAAAGTCAATTTTAAAACATACTTTGAGCTACAAATCTTATTGGCTACATTGATAGTTCTTTTCAATTTCCTCCTTCACTGATTCATGATTCTACGGGAAAAGAGAGTACCAATCCAAAATTTCTCACATGGAAACAAGTTGATTCTCATCTATTAAGTTGCATCACTACAACTCTCACTTCTGCTGTGTTTACATCTGTTCTACATTGTTCTACAAGTTGTGAAGTCTAGACTCTTCTCACTAAAAGATTTACTTCGTTGTCTAGATCACATATTCATCAACTCAAGGACAAACTCAATGTTGTTTCCAAGAAATTCTTATCAATGGAGAATTATCTACTCTAGATCAAAACAATATCAGATCAATTAGCTCTTGTTTCTTTTTCGGTTGAGGAAGAGGACTTGATTCTCATTGTTTTAAATGGTCTTCCAGTAGAGTACAACGCCTTAAAGACAGCAATAAGAACAAGAACTGAACCAATCACCATGTCAGATTTGTCCTCTCTTTTGTGTTCAGAGGCCTTGCATGTTGAATCTAAATCATGACTTTCTTTGTCTCTTTCATCAAGGATCTAAATCTAATAGAGGTGGAATGTATTTTCCAAGAGGAGGTCATTTCAATCGTAGAAATGGAGGAGGAGATCTTCCTATTCCTCACAACAAACTTCTTCACAACCAAGTTCCTTTTGTAATTTGTTGATTTGGTAGATTTGTGGCAAGCCTAATCACACAGCCATAGATTGCTGGTATATGATGGATTCTTCATATACATCAGCCTCTTATTCTCCCAAAACTGCTTTTGTTGCCAGTGCACCTACCTCTTCATCAACTGCAAATTGGTATGTTGATTCTGCAGCTACAACTCATGTTACTCCAGATCTTGACAATCTGCACCACTATCAACCATACTATGGTTCTGACCATGTAACTGTTGGCAATGGTACCTCCATTCCCATACAACATACAGGTTAAGGTATCCTTCTCACTCCTTCTCATCCTTTCAAGGTTAATCATATTCTTAATGTACCTTCTCTATCCTCCAATCTTCTTTCTGTTCATCAGCTCACATCTGATAATGATTGCAGTATTACCTTTGATAACAAGTCTTTTGTGATTCAGGACAAGACTACTCAGATTCTTCTTTACAAAGGGGTCCATAGTCATGGCCTATATCAAATTCCATTTACATTTTCGTCTCACAATTCTTCTCTTCAACACAAGCCAGTTTCATCTCATGTTGCTTGTCTTGCTACCAATTATACTTCTACAACGGTTTGGCACACAAGGCTAGGCCATCCTTCTTCCCAAAAACTTCATGTCTTGCTTAAACACTACAAGTTACCTGTTTGATCTCAATGTACTACAAACTTGTGCACACATTGTACTGTAGCTAAGAGTCATAGACTCCCTTTTACTTTGTCCAATTCCTCTGTTAATAAGCCTCTCTCTCTGATTCATAATGATATATGGGACCCATTCTCTTGTTCCAGTTCTAATTTTAAATACTATGTTCTATTTGTGGATAATTTTAGCAAATTTACTTGGGTATATCCTATGTGTTACAAAAGTGAAGTGTTTTCAATATTTCAAGAATTTAAAGTATTTGTTGAGACTCAATTTGACACTAAACTTAAAGTGTTTCACGCTGATGGTGGTGGTGAGTTTACTGGAACTCTCATGTCCTCATACTCTTCCTCAAAATGGAGTTGCTAAACGCAAACATAGACATTTAATTACTACTACTATTGCTCTTCTTCATCAATCAGCTCTTCTATTATCATTTTGTTTTGATGCTTTAGCCACTTCTATGTTTCTTAACAATCGATTACCTAGTTCCAAATTGCAAAATTAGACTCCATTTGAGATGTTGTTTCATCAATCTCCTGATTTTAGTTTTCTCAGAAGTTTGGTTGTCGATGTTTTCCTTAGCTCAAACCTTACACTTCATATAAACTCCAACCCAAGTATGTGCTCTGTGTGTTTATTGGTTAACATCCTTCTATTAAGGGTTATAGGTGTTTGGATCCCATTTCTGAAAAAGTCTTTTTTTCTAGGCATGTTGTCTTTGATGAGACTTTATTTCCTTTTGTCTCTCACCCTTCCCTACCTCCTACTACTGTTCCTCCCTTATCTCAACTTCATGCTTTCTTTTGGCCACCTCAATCCAGTTTGTCTGCTTCTGCTCCCTCAACCTCTCTGTCTCACTCATCTGCTCCTAGTCATAAGCCTTCTGTTCTTTGCTCAGCTGTTGCTGCACCTATGGCTATTCCTGCTATGGCTCATGATGTTCCTAACCCTACTACTGTTGTGTTTACAACTGCACCTATATCTACTACTGTGTCTATAGCTACACTTATATCTCCAGCTATTGTTGCTACTGTGGCTATTTCTGCCACTGCTCCTACTGTGTCTACAGCTACTCCTCCATCTCCAACTGCTGCTCTTTCTCACTTCTCCATTCATATTGGTTCTGTTCACATTGATTTAAGTTCTTATGCTCCCTTAGTTTCCTCTCTTAACACTCATCTCATGGTCACTCACTCTAAACGTGCTCTTCCTTTTCATTTGACTGTTTCTTCTTCTCTTGATCCTTTTTTGCTTGAACCTTCCACATGGTCTAAGGCTCTCACTATCCTTCCTTGGGCTACTGCTATGTCTGAAGAATTTCAAGCTCTTCAACGCCAAAAGACTTGGATTTTGATCCCTCATCCTCTTCACAAACATGTTATTGGCTGTAAATGGGTTTTTCGCCTCAAAAAAAATTCTGATGGCTTTGTTGCTCGCCCTAAAGCTCGATTGGTTACTAAGGGTTGTCTTCAAGAGGAAGGGATTGACTATCATGAAACCTTTAGCCCTGTTGCTAAGCAACCCACGTTCCGTATTTTTCTTAGTGTTGCTCTTCATTTCAATTGGCCAATTAAACAACTGAATATCTCCAATGCCTTTCTTCATAGCATTCTTGAGGAAGAGGTGTTTATGGATTAGCCACCTAGTTTTGCAGATTCTTCTTATCCTTCCCATGTATGTCAATTAGAAAAAGCCCTTTATGGTCTTAAACAGGCTCCACATGCCTGGTATTCCACTTTTTCCTTATTTTTAATCACTTATGGATTTGTTAACAGTCGCTGTGATTCATCCTTATTCATTCATCACTTTTCTTCTTCTCTCATTCTGTTGTTGGTGTATGTAGATAACATTCTTATTACTGGGAGTGACTTTGTTCAAATTGCCACTCTTATCACCCACATGCATTCTGCCTTTTACATGAAGGAACTGGGCAACATTTTCTATTTTCTTGGTATCTCTGTGTTACCCACTTCGGATGGTCTATTTTTGTCTCAACACAAGTATGCTTCTGAGATACTTACCAAAG